ATTTCTGTTGTTTTAGTAAACATCTTATCGCTATAATATTCAAGTTTTGATTGTTTGCGAACATATGGTTGAAAATACATCGCCTGCCATCACGTTACTGAAATGCAATATACCCATTAAAACCTGAAAGTACCGGGTAAAAAAATGCCGTTGAGAACGTGGTTGCAATTCAACTGTAAAAACATTTAAACGGAAAGTTTGACGGCTTCCCCTTCTCAGATCGGTTCTGGAACCGCTTTTCCCCCTTTTTTAGCCAAGTTTCCCTTTGTGTTCCTCTTTTCTCTCACTGTTTACCTGTTGCTCGTAAACAAATGCCGCCTTAATCAATTCGTAAAACTGCTTAAACTTCAAGTGATAACAAACAAAGGCGAGACAAACGCTCGGATGGTTGGAAAGAAAGAAAGTCCCAGGGATCGGGTTCCCCACTCCGAACCCTTCGCTCACCCCATTATCGACACTCCATCACAGTTTATGGCCAAGAACCGTCTGATACTGGGATGCTTCATGTTTGTTTTCTCACACAGGCGGCAAAACAAATAAATTCCATTGCCTTTGGAGAATTGATTTTTGAAAACCTAATCAAATCGAACGAACAGCCTCTCTGCATTTGGGGTCTAACCCATTTCTCTTTTCGGTTGGGGCAAACTCGATATAAACCTAAAACGATAAAGGAAATATAGGAAAAGAAATCTTTTATTCAACATTTTATCATACTCTTACCAATTTAAAGTTCTTACTTCTTGTGATTATTTCGATCATTAAATGACCAATAAATAATTTCTCCTTATAAGAAAGGTATCCAAAGTGCGGCTTTAAGACTTCTTCGCATTGGATTCCCAACTCATTTTATTGACGACCACCAGGCGACTGATGGGGCCGAAGATTTCCCATCCGCACTCGTAATTAAATATCCAAATTGAGTGTAAGCAAATGCCGGCGACTTCTAGCCCTGCCAGCTATGCAGGGGTTGGATCCGGATCGGGATCGAGATCGAGATCTTTATGTGGAGCTGTATCTGTTTGTGGCTGGAAATAGCGACGCATCCAAGTGAGGCATTTTGTGCAACACACGCCAAAATGCTAAGGAGTCGCAGGGGATGGCGGTGGGGGTTCAGTCGAGTGGTGGTGGGGGCACTATTTGCATGGGTTGTCTTTATGCACTCACCCTTCCCCCTCCCCCACTTCCCCACTCCGCCCACTCCCTTTCCTTCAGCGCTTTCCTATTTCTGTCTTTGTTGCTGCTGCTTATGCAAACGCATGGGGCATGTCTCCCGCAACTGTAATGACTCCAACTCCTGCACTGCAATTCTTGATCCAGTTCATTTCTCATTAAATAATTTCTTAATCAGCTGATCCCTTACCTTGTAAATATCTTAAGGGTAACTTGTTTATGACTTACTATAATAATTTATTTTGAACATTAAGATAGACTTTCTAGAGTTTTGGTGCAGTGCATCGACTTCACAACTTCGGCTCCATCTGGCTGCTTTTAGTTTTTCTCCAACGGGCATAGACAATGAAAAACATTTTCCTGTCGCTGTCTCTGTTTTTGAGTCCGTCGTTGTTGTTGTACATGTTCCTGTCCCTGAATCTCGCCCCCTGCCCCGTGTGCCCCATGTTCCCCTTTGGCCCCGCCCCTATCCTTGTTCCCCCTCCCCCACTTAACCCTCGCCAGCCCATCGAACATCAACATAAAATCCATGTGATGTCGATGACTTTTTTGTTTTCCCTGTTCTTTTTTGTTGTTTTCGTGCTCTATGCGTTGTTGTCTTTGTTTTTTTTTAGTTCTTCTCTCTCCGCTCTCCCCGTCACTTACATATTTAAATGTGCATATGGTATCCACTCTCTCCGTGTGTTTTTTATTGTTGCTGCCATTGCGTAGTCGCATGTGAATGCTCTCTAATCTCCTAATGTCGTTGAACCTTTCCTGTACTTTTTTATTGTGCCGTACTCGACGACTTTATTGTTATTATTATTTTGCGCGACTCTCCGTTTTTCCTCATTGTGTTTGCTTTTGCAGATTCGCTCGCCTGTTTGCTCCGCATGTGGATCTCAGCTCGATCCACGCTCTCTCCGCCCCCCTCTCTCTCTCTTTCACTCTCGGCTTACTTTATGTCATAGCTGACAACAAGAACAACAACTACCGATGACAATGATAACAGCAGCAGCAGAAGCATCAACAACAACAGCCAGGGGTTGGGGCAAAAGGGGGTACACACCCCCTTTGGGGGCCACAATAACTTATTTTTTAAAGCATACTTTTTTGTTTTACCTTTATCATGTTGAAAATACATTCTTTTATTGCACTGACAGACAGCTTTTATCTCTTTATTTCCCAACTCATCGTTAAGCATGTAGTAAAAAAGCCCTTAAAACTATGTTTGGCCACCGCCCCTGACAAGTGCACACGTGCATTCTGCCGCTGCCTCGGGGCAATTATTTCCAATTTAGCAAAACAACACAACAACAGCAGCAGCAGCAGCGGCAGAGGCAGCATGCAGCATAGCATCCAAAGCTATAGATCGGTCCTCTGTCCGAGATCAGGGCTTGGCTCTCCACTCCGGACCTGCTCCTATTGTCTTTCCACCAGTTCATTGCCCGATGCCCAGATGCAGCAGCTCTAGCATCAAACTATAAAACCACACTGAAACAAATGCATTATTTTAAGTGGGAAATATTCATAAGCGCTTAACATAACTGTCCTTTATGTCAATTCACACTGATTTATTATGTATTTTTATTTATATTTAAAGTCCATTTCAGACTAACTAAACTATTGTAACCTCCAGATTATACGATATCACAGTAATTCCATTTTAGCAGAAATAAGAAATAAGGGATCTTGATAATTTTGGATACGGTACTAATGGTTTTATTGTGGGGCTCCCAAAACAAATCAATCTCGATTTGTTCCGGTGCATCCCCATCCCCAGCGAGATCCCCATTGGTAGCATGGTCACCAAGGGGATTGGGGATTGGGAACTGAGAACTGGGGACTGGGGACTGAAGACTGGGGTCAGGCCTGCTCCATGGTCCATGCAATTACTCCATGTACTTGGGACTGTAATAACACGGACGCGAACTGTACGTAAACTGGTTGCAGGATGCTGCTCCCGCTGATGTTGTTGTTGCAACCTGGAGCCGGGCAGCGACTTTCTAGCCGGTGTTATCTGTCTATATCTATCTAGGAAAACCAGTTATTGGGGGCCCAGGCTTGTTGCACGCCCATTTCGAGCCGAGAGCCGCTGCTCCTCCTCCAGGCGGTTGTTAAGTCCAAAGTGGCTATAGTCGCTGTTGATCGGAGCAGGACTAGACCTGTTGCTGGTTGCTGCTTGCTGATCGCCGATGTTGCTGGTGTTTTGCTGTCTTCAGCTAGCAGCTAGCAGCGATCAGCTAGCAACTCGCGAGTAGCGACTCCCAACTGGATTTGCCGAAGGCTGTTGACTCCGTTGTTTTTCTATTGCCAGTTGCAAGTTGCAAGTTGCCTGTTCAGAGGCTCTCAAGGCACGACTTCCTTCTCGGCTCTTCTGGGCTGGGATATTGGAAAACAACTCGTACAGCCGCGAGTTCGTTGACTCCAAGTGGGGCTATTCTAATGCCTGGCAAACGTGTTTGGCAACTTGCAATCCCATGGGAGTGGGAATAATGTAAATGGGAGTGGGTCTGCTGCTCCAACTACATGAACTTCTACTCCCACTCCTGCAATTTCCATTTCTCCAGCAGAAACACTCGCTCCTAGAAGTCATCGCCTTACTAATTGCCCACCAGTGAATTAAAATTGAAATGAAATTCGCATTGAAGCATTAAGGAAAAATCAAATGAATGGCACATTGAGGCTGGCTTTTAAAAAAGCGAAGCTAAATCGACTTGAATAAAAACGAACGAGGAAATCGGGTCGAGGTTTCCAGTACGCCAATAAACTGGATTCTCTTGATAAGAAAATATGACACATTTAATGTTGATACTGGTTTACATAAACGAACTCACAAGGGACTTTGTAATTTAAACACAAGAATTATTAAAGATGGAAGGGAATACAATATTTGATTAAATATCCCATTTATATCATTAGCTCGTATTATTTACAAACCTAATTGCCTGCTTTCGAGCAAATACTCAACTAATATATCAGCTGTTAACACTCGAATTAGGAGAATTAACGTAACTAAGAGCTCTAAATTACATGATATACAAGGCACTTCCAAAACAAACTCCTACCAACTTGTTTTTGGTAGATAAATACAAGCAATTAGTGGGACAACAGGCGATAAATCAACTGCTTAACACAGTTCTCATTCATAAAGTGATAAACAAATAATTATATACCATTTCGATTTCTAGTTGTCAGACAGTTGGTGTCAGAACATGCCGTACATTTTTAGAAAAAATATCAGCATTTCCTTTGATTTCGTTCCAATGAACCCGTACACATTTTCAAACAATTGAAATAAAAAATTCCACATTCATTAGAAAAGAAACAGAATCAGATATTTCATAAATTTTCTATTAAGTTCCAAGTAATTTGTTCTATCTCTTCGTCCATTCACCTCGTTACAAAATACCGAAGGGAATTTGGGCTGATTTTGGTTGTCCATCAAGCCGAAACAACTTTATTGACACGGGCATAAATATCAATTTACGCCCATTTTTGTTCGGCCGATGATGTTTTTATTTCTCGAGCACCATCTGTTGTGTGCCAGTGTGCCTGAAGGGCCCGTCCGAGTGCCCAAGTGGATCTGGGTCTGCCTATGGGTCCCGGGGCTGGGCTGTCCATCATCATCGATTCCCGACTCCCGACTCCCGGCTCCCGACTCCCGGCTCCCGACTCCCTGCTCTCTGCTCCCTGCTCCCTGGTGCCTCGTTGCTATTCCTGGGGCCAATCAGTCAGCGAGGCACTCAGCGGAGCGTGAATGGCAATTGCCGATATCCACACATTCAATTAATAAAATCAACAGCCTGGCGAGGGCTCCTTATCGCAATCCTCCGGACGACTGGCAGGACATGTCATTAGCCAGGCTTCAGTTCAGTTCGAGCTCGATTATGGCCGGGAAAAGAGTGGAGAGCTGGTCGCGATTCGTGCTCCTGTGGCTCTATCATTGGGCCCGCGGTCTTTCGCTGCTCTCCTCCAATCTGGACCGGGAGAAACTGCAGCTGAAGCCGCAAAAAAAGGGCAGCAGCAATCGGATCCTGAGTATCCTGTGGCGCTGCTTTGTGGTTATCATCTACTCGGGAGTATGGCCAATGATATCCTCGCCCATTATGGGCAAACGAATGGAGAGCTATGCGGATCTCTTTGCTTTCGTTCAAGCCAGCTCGGTGTCCGTGTTGGCCATCATATCCTTTATAATCCAGGCGAAGGGGGAGAGCAAGTTCCAAAAGGTGTTGAATAGATATTTATCCCTCTACCAGAGGATATGCTCCACCACCCGTTTGGAGCACCTGTTCCCAACAAAATTTCTGGTTTTGTTTATGCTAAAGTTATTTCTCACATTATGCGGCGCTGCTCACGAATTAATACCTTTCTTGAAAGCCGAAAACTTTAATGGACCCTTAGAAATTGTGGCTGTAGTTTTTTCCATCTACATGTGGCTTGGAACGCTCTTTGTCCTGGACATCTGCTTCCTGGGATTCCTGGTCTCCGGAATCCTGTACGAGCACATGGCCGCCAATATCCTGGCCATGCTGCACCGGATGGAGCCCATCGAAAGCCAGGAGGAAGGAACTCGCATGAGTCACTATCGCAGGATGCGACTCCTGTGCGACTTTGCCGACGAGTTGGACGAGTGCGCCGCCATCTACAGTGAACTCTACGAAGTGACGGTCGCCTTCCGCAGGATGTTGCAGTGGCAGATCCTCTTCTACGTCTACTACAACTTCATAGACATCTGCCTGATGCTCTACAAGTTTATTCTGCGCTATCTGAGCGACACTGAAGTGTGGTTGCTGGCTTTGGCCTTGGCTTTTGTTAAGTTGGCCAATCTGGTCTTGCTAATGATGTGTGCGGATTACGCGGTGAAGGAGTCGCAAGTTCCAAAGAAGTTGCCCCTGGACATAGTTTGCAGTGATATGGATCAGCGTTGGGATAAGAGTGTAAGTCTTAGTCAAATGTTTTTAACCTTGCTTTTATGGCTTAAAATATTCGTAGGTGGAAACATTCATAGCTCAACTGCAAACGCAACGTCTGGAGATCAAAGTATTGGGATTTTTCCAACTGAACAACGAGTTTATCCTCGTAATCCTATCTGCCATTATATCGTATATGTTCATACTCATTCAGTTTGGCATTACAGGTGGCTTTGAGGCTTCAGATGAAATCAAAAATCAGTTTGATTAAAAAAAAACTATTTGTACTTTTAAGTGTTACATTCGATCTGTTTAGATTTATTACCTTGAAATTGCTGAAAGCACACTTAAGAAAATACTTTTATTATTAAACATACATATATGTTTTCTCAACACCCTCGTTCTCTGGACTCTGTATCTCTGCTCATCACTCGAGTTAACCTCTGCCATCGAAGTTCACCTGAACCGCCCCGAGTTCATTATCGTTCATTATATCTCATACCACAAGACATTCTGATACAATTTTCGGAGTGCCTCTGCTGAGATGAGCTCGTTAAGAGACCAACGAAAAATTAAAGAAATGGGAATGAGCAACAAAAAATTGAAATTTCACGGCTGACACGGTGTAATTATCATAGGTCTCCCACTTCCTTTACTCCCGCTACTCAAATCCCACCTCCACTACTCCCACTACACTGGGAAAAATGCGATGACAAAGAAAGCACAATTTCTTAAGCAATAAAAATTAAAAAAGTCATTTTCCACCAGTGTACACCCTCTCTTCTTCTCATCACTTGATCGCCATCGCCATCGTCTCGACTCAAGTCTTTGATTATTTTGGGCGTCAGCGGAGCGTAACGCGCTTGTCACGCCTATTATACTTGTACAGTATATATGGTGTGTGTATATAGTATAGGCGACGGGGTTATAGGAGAGGCATCTGAACCCGGGATTCGATCCCAACTGACCCGTGAGTGCGACGGTGGCGAAATGGAAACAAAGCAAACACAACGGCAGAAATACGCGCCTTGGCCTGCAACTGAATTAATTTCCGAGCTCTCTGCTCCGCTGCACACGCTCTGTTTTTTGGGGGGAAGGGGTTCACCGGGGATATATGGTAGGGGATCTTCCAATCCCTGACAGTGACGAGACCACATTCAAATTTTTCGCTTGTTTTTGCGCCCATTTGGAGCTGGCCAAAAACTCTGGCCAAGCCATGCATATTTCCGGCCAGCGGAGCTGCGATCTGATCACCGGATTCCCCATTCGGCGTGGGGGAAGTCAGAACCATTCCAGAAAACCGAACAGCGTTCCCGTTTCGCTGATTTCCTGCCGTTCGCAACATTTCAGGTATTCTGCGATGTAATTAGTTCGGAAGCTCGCAACCCGCCACTGCGATTGGATTGGTTTGGGTTGGAAGTTGGCCTCTGGAGTGGGAGACCCAGCTGGGAGCTGGAGCTGCGGCATTGCCGGGATGCCGCCGCCAGTTGAAAGATGCCGCCAAAGAGTCGCGGTTGCATGTACCACCCAGTTCCCCCTCCACGCAATTGTTGTCTTAAAGCATTTGTACACATGTAACTAGCGACCCAGCTCATCGCACTCCCTTAGTGATATTCTGAGAACCTACAGATACTTATTCATTTCAGTTTAATAAAAAGATTCCAAACTTTTCCCAAAACATTTCAAAAAACATTTAAAATATTGTATCCATAAGTATCTTTCTTTAACCACTCTATATACTTTTCTCTGAGGTAAGGGGTATCACAAATTTTATACCATTATTAGAAGACAGTGGGGAGCCTTTCGGGGGCTTATCAAGTGGGCTGGTTGGCAAACACGGCGGCAAACACTTTGACCTTTGTAGAATCCACAGAAGCCGCCGCAGAAGCCCGACAAGCGGAGAGCATGTTCAGATACTTTCACTTACGAATCAGCAGAAACAAAATAGAAACCACAATCGCAATCAACACGGAACGTGATCGAGAGTGGGGGCGATAGATGGAGATCGTGTGTCCGTAAACGTGACATAAACAGAATAACAACTTCATTTGTCATAGGAGCACAATTGGGCGGAGGGGTAGTGTGTTAAGTGGTAAGTGGGGAGCTCGGCAAACAAGCGTGCCCGAAATGATGTTTGAACTTCGTTTGTGGAGCAATCCAGGGAGTCAGTCTAGGGTCTAGACTCCACTCCCAATTCGAAACGCAGAACGGGAACGATAAATTTCCTGATTGTGCGACTGTTGTTACTGCGCTCCACTACGAGCGATCAGAATGCATAGTAAATTAAGTGGGCGACAGATACGCGAACAGGCACAACAATGCCTCAAGAATACGATCGCGGGAGAAAAACATCTGTAGGTTGTGTTTGACTCTCGCAGATGGAGATGTCTGGGCAGTGGGGAATGCGGGGGAGTGACCCCCACTGGCCCCGTACTACGCCTTTGAGACCGTACGTTCGTACGTACCCACATACCAAAAGCCAAAAACAGCAAATGCCAAATACCCGTTTTGGCCTAAAAACCTACAAAGCCGAACAACAAGTTGCTTAACCGCTGAGAATAAACTTCCACGAATTCGTGGATGCCCTACACGGAGAATAGGATGAACATTAAGATAAACCTAAACGGGTCTCAGATTTTGTTGGCCAGGTACAAAAAGGGTTAAGGGTTCTGCAGAATCTGTAGAAGTTACAAAAAACAAACCAAGCTTTGGAAAATTGCATAACCTTAATTCCAAGAATTTTTTAAGCCAGCTCTTAATATTTCAACTAGGCCTAGAAACGGAATTGAGTGGATATTGCGTTTTAAACTCATCAGATAAACAAACAATTTCTTCAGCTTTCTTTCTTTCTTTTCTATTTACACAAGAGCTTTCATGTTATCGAAGCGCTGAGGGCACTATTCCATTATCTAGTGTTTATCGTTATTACTACATCATCGTTACGGCCTACAAACAATTTGAATATTACAAAAGGGGAACAACAAATGAGGTCAAGAACCCTCTGGGACATCGAAGCTTCGCTATCTTATCTGCGGCTTGTATTAACCGCAGTTGCAAGCGTTGCGACGCAGTTCAAATAAATTCCGCCGAGGAGGAGTACCCCAAATTGTACCCTACACCCGATGGATCGATCGATCGATCGGTGGCGTATCCGAAAGATATATAAGATACACTGCGTCATCTGCGATGGTTAAACAGGGAGGGGGATGAAAGGGGGTGTTGATCGAGGAGCCATCGAACACGCACACACATTAACATCACGTTATTTGTGTGTTCGATGAACCGAAATTCGAAATTCGGTGTGTGTCTGACCCACTTTCCCACAAATTTACGCACTTTATGGCGAATGGAATCCACACATGAGCGTTAGAAAGAGCACAGCCGCTAGAAAGAGAGGGACGAACCACTTAGAGGGAGACGGGGAGAGTGAATATGACCGAGAGGGAAGCCAGCCAACTTGGGCATTTAATAATTGAGGTCGACTACAGTCGATCGTAAAGGAAAATTGATTTGTGGGGTTTGCTGTTGCAGTATTTTATTATTATTTTTTGCTGCTGATTTTTTGCTCTTGCAGGGAAAATTATCTTAACAATATTAGGTACCTCTATGTGATAATACTTTATAAAAAAACATGATAATTGATTACTCAAAATGAATAATAAGCCGACTCAACTTAAGTCATAATCAAAACGAACCATTTAAAAAATATAAAAGTCTGTACAGTTTGAATTCAATCAGTTAATTAAATTTTAAGTATGTTTTCATGTAAAAAAATCTTAAAAATCACTAACTTCACTCATCATTTTTCTCAGTGTACTTTCCCATTTGTTGTCGTTGTTTAGTGCTTTTCAAGCTTCGTGTTTTTCTTATTCTTTCGTGTAATTTACGCAACGTTCGCTCGTTTGTCGTTGTCTCTCGGCTACTTGTCTTTGCATTGAGTCGAGAGCAACAACACAGCAGCAACAACCTCGCAGCAGCAACAACAATCCCACAGCAGCAGCAGCAGCAGCAACAACAAGCACGAGATCAACAACATCTGCAGCAGCGCTGCTCGGTTGCTCGGTTGCTCGGTTTGCTCAGTTTGCTCGGCTGGCAGTGGTTGAACTTTTTTCTTTTTGCAGCTCCCAAATCTGAAATCACAAACCTGTTTTCGAGACCTGGGCTTGCCACACGTCTCGGCCAAATCAAAAGCTGGCCAAAGCCAAACGAAAACTTGACGTACATCGCCCCCTTTCCACTCCGTCGCGATGATGTTGCTGCTGTGCCGATGTTGCTGTTGCTGTTGCTGCCGTAGATGTTGCTGCTGCTGCCGTCGCTGTTGTTGTTGATCATTGTGGACTGTACTTTTTGTTGTTTGCGTTTGAAAGGCAAAAGTTGCTGCTGCCCGCGGGGAAGTGTTGATTGAAATCGATCTGAGGCAGGGCGAAATGCAACATGCAACTTGCAGCATTAGTTGCTCAGCTGCCGAGATTTGACCTTGCTGCAGTGCAACGGCAGCAATCTGTTGCAGCTGCGGATATCTATAATTTGGCCGGGCCCTAAACTGATCTGCTGGCCGTGTAATTAATCGAGCAACCAACCCGGGGCAGCATCCTTCCGCCCGGGGAAGCCCCTCTCCCCTCAAGAGAACCCTTCTTGCCACGCCTAGTGCTTGTCGATTTTGAAAACGAGCGCATAAATGACGCTTTCCTGTGTACTTAAGGTGTCCAAACTTGACTACCGTGCGGAGTTCTCTGTCCCCTGGTTCCTCGGGCTCCCCACCTGCAGATGTACCAACATATATCCGAGCCGAAACCCAGAACCATTCCCATTCCAAAACTAAAAATCATCCGCAACCTTGCCCAAGACAACAACTCCTGTTGCTCTTACTGCTGTTGTTGCTGCTGTTGTTGTTGTTGTTGTTGTTGTTGGTGTTGCTGCTGTCGATGACCATTATTTTAGCTGACGGCGATATATTTGCTCAGCTTCAACTTCGCACAGGGACAGTGGCACTGTGCGTCTGTCCGAGTTCATGCACTCAGAGAAATGTTACCTTAAGAAAGCAAACTACAATCTATACAATACCTGAAAGCAGCTTTTCTCTAACATAGCATTTAATCACCGGTTCTACGAGCAGTCAGCATATACAACCTTGTTCTCAATTCCCCTTCGAACGATTAATTCGCATCGTGCAATAACACTTTCGAAGACATATGTATTTTCTGAGATTAAAAATCGAGAACAAGGCTAATTGTCATTTAAATGGGAATGATTTGTCAGTCGAGTGCTTAGAAGAGGAATGAAAGCGAAGTAAATTAAACTGGTATGGTTTCATTTGAATGATTTAGTCTCCCAGCAAACCTTAGATTTATGATCTTATTTCTTTATGAAGTGTATTTGATATTTCTTGCTGTGTCGATCCACGGGTCCATCGGCCGCGCTCACTGTTTTCTTTGGGGTGTTGGCTACCGTCGGACGGCCGGGGCTTTTTGTTTTTGCTGTACCGGCAGCAGCGCGTCACCGATGCCCAGATGCCCAGATGTACAGCCACTGAGCGGAGCATGACAAACAGTTGCAGCCAAAGCAAATAATTAGTATACATCGATTATCTTGCGCCCAGTCCGAACCTGGCCCGTGGCTACTGTGCGGAGCTTTGGCTCTATGGCTTTTGGCCCGCAAACTGGATCCGTCTCCAGATGTTGGCACGATGCACACGCGCTCTTCGAGCATCCAGCATCCAGCATTGGATATCCAGCATCCAGCATCCAGAATCCAACTGGGCGTGTGTCGAGCGCCTACGCGCCCCAAAACAGCCCACAAAACGGGTTCCCCTTCGCAATTCGCAACTCGCGACTCTCAACTGCGACTGCGACTGCGACTGGGGATTCGTATTCGCCATATGTGTGTGCTCGTAAAATGCTGGGCCAGAAACTGTACCCCAACCCAACCAGATCGCGGCCTGTGCCCCCAGCCCAAGTCCCCACCTCCCATCCCCCATCTCCGAGGCGAACTGCATTGGGACGTGTGCTCCGCTCGTGCCAATTTCTTTGGGGCCTCCAACTTTTGCAGTCGCCTGCGCAGCGTTTTGTCTTCACTTGGTTTCTGCATATAAATACGAATATTCACATACAAATAAACGAGGTATATAGGTACAGCAGGGTGGCTCGATACTCTGAATAATTCTAAGCACTATTTGCCAAGTGAAATTGGCCTATTTGCTCTAGCTACCCATTTACTGAAAGCAAAAATAATTTAGGCGAGTTCTCAGTAAATAGCAAAAAACTGCACAAACTTAAGAGTTTTAAAACATTATTCTTTCTGCGTGTATAATAAAACAACCATTAGCTTTTGAAATTTAACCAAGTGAAACACTCTCCTAGCTTTGGATGCCAACGCTATTGAATTACAGAGAGGTTTTATTTATCGTCTATTAAAAAACGCACCACCTTTATACTTATAAGTAAGCTCTTTGTGTGCCTAGATGGCAATGCGACTACAAAAGGTTGGGCAATTGCAATAATGTGCTATTTTTAATTAGCTCTATGAATAAAATTGACAACCCAGTCGGACCTGAAAAGTGGAGGGGGAGCGTTATACGTGCTCTTTCGATTCGAAACGCAATAAAGTCACTTTTAGCTGTGCATTCCGAAGATGGAGAATTCCTATGCAGTTCGTGACGGAACCTAGATTGGATATGACCTAAATTGATTGATGTGGAGCTCAGTAATTAGCTTCCGAGCAGCTAGTCGAGGCAATTATGAAAATCAACAACAAATTGGTGTGATAAATTCCAAAGGCATTGATAAGATACGATAAACTTGCACAGCTCAATATTATCTTGCAATAATTTTGGAACGAAATCTTTTAAGTCTGTGAGTTACACAATCTTTGAATCGAAAATTCCTCAAAGTAAAGTGTGAATTAAAAAAAGGTTCTGTGACATCTTTTTAAGACTTTTTTACCATTAGAAGGCCTAAAAATAAGGCCCAACGTATGATTGCATAACTGTTCTTCGCACGCGTAATTTTTCAGATTCTGCGACCCAACGAAATAATATATTCTTTGCTCCCATGAGTGTTCTTCTTCTGTTGAAACATTCATGACCAGATGTAGCCCCATGTAGATCAGATTAGATAGCAGGCCGGCGGCCTGGGCTGTTATATAATCAAGCAAAAAGGCTTATATCATCGCGTTGGCAACTCGGAGCCCTTTGCCTAATTGAGCAATAAATAAATTAGAACTAATTACGCCCATTGTCGATCCGTGGAAAGGGTTTTGCTGACTTTAGCGGGAGTTTTCTGTTTTCGCCACTCAATTTGTGTCGAATTATAGCAATCAACTGGCCAGCAGTTACATTTGGCCATTCCCGATGGGTTTCCGGGCCGAAAAGCTTTTAGGGCTAATGGGTCTTCGTTCCCTGCTGATTTCCAAGTTGCTACCGGTTGCCGCTCTGATTCTCGGACTCTTGATTGAAATCGAGGCTTTCGTCGGCTTAATCATCGTAATGATGATGAGATTTCCTCCATATCCATCCGTTCTTGCCACTCTCCTTGGCCGTCTCCGTCGTAGCTGTACTTTTCGGCCAGAAAGTGTTGGCTGGCTTGAAAAGCAAGCACCGCTACCTGCACTCAGGCACTCAAGCTCCCAAGTTCGAGCTCCGGCTGGTTCTTTTGTCTAGTGAAATGTTGAAAGCATCATTAATTTTTTTTCGTCTCTCTTGATTCCGACTTTATGCCTTCAGCTTTGCCTGGCACATAGTTGCAGGTAAGTATGATAATTGCGGAATGAAAGGAGAGAGAGACGATCCAGTAAAAAAGTGACCCATAATTACCCAGGCAGCAGAACAATCATGGGAAAACTGACTGTAGCCCAACTCGGTCCCATACCACCCGTCTCCACCTCCAACTGCCTTTCTTTGTCTCTGCTGTGTCTCTTATGAAGTACAATTATTTGAGCAATGCTATGTTTTATGATTATCTTGCCGTTTACACAACACGCACAACCCAAGGGGGCAGGGGACTCAAATCCCAGCCATGGTTTCGGGTTTTCGACTGGGAGATACTCATAGGTGGTCAATGTCATATGCAAACGACATAATTCGAAAGATATTTTAATACAAATAATCTAACTGGTTTTCAAAAGAGTAAACCATTCGACATACAAAATACTTACTCTTTTATTTCCTAAGTTGGTTTCTCTTGAATCTGTGTCTGTTACAAATTTCTATAAGAGTCAGGCATACCCTTTCGATTAAACGGCATCTAGGGCACCCCAGAATTCCACAATCTCAGCAGGAGCAGAAGCAGGAGCAGAACCGATCGGGCCATTATTCCGGGCCCAGTTCCACTGCCGAGATAATAGTGCTCATCTCATCTCGGGTCCCTGCTCTCTGGCAATTTGATTTTTTTATTATCGCCGCCGCTGGCCGGCCCTTTGTCCCCGTTTTTGTGAACCTGCCGATCGGAGGCACAAGTGCAGTGGCAAGTGCACCTTGGCGGCTCTTTTGCGTTCTTCCTTCTCGGTGCCCCAAACCTATGCTAATTAGACCGACGGCCTCGGCCTTGTTTTTATGCGCCTCTTAGCGTGAACTGTCCGTTGAATACCCCCTCGTGCCGTCCCTCCACCAACGAGCTGCCGCATAAATTTTCTGCTTGACGGTAGCATGAATGTTTAATTAATGCCGCGACCAACTTTCATGGGAAAAGTTGCAGCGGAACAAACGGTTAGCCGGAAATTGAGAATCGGGTCCTGCCACCGCCGATTTGAGTTGGCTTTTCGTGAAATTCCGTTCTTTATTCATTGTTTTTTTATTTGCGTGCAACCGCAGGACAGGTGGACAGGTGGGCCAGGTGTCTCGAGAGCTGTATTTATATTCGGGAGGGTGATATGCCGCAACCAATGCGTGACGCTGAATCAAATTTGCTGCGACTGCAGGCCGTACTGTACCAAAAAGGTCAAGTAGGTGATCATCGCCGAGAGGAAGAAGAGGGTCAGCTCGTTGGAGACCTCGAAGAGGCCCAAAGGACACACTCGCAGCGCCCGATGTTGCAGGCCGCCCAGGAAAAGCTCCAACTGAAAGGAATTTCATGTTAAGATCAAAAAATAAATACAACTATGTCACTATATCAAAAAGAACTACAATCAAATTGATCAAGTAACAAAAGGTTCTTTGTATTCTGTTTTATACTTCAACATTTTTGTATTATCTATTACCTTTTGATGGTGACCCTTGTCTTCAGTCACGTAAAAGTTCTCCAGGCTCAGTCGTTTTACCAATCGGGAACCACTTACAGCTGAATTCACCGCCATTGTCAGTAGCACCACATCAGTGAGGAGTTTGATGACCAAGCCCCAGAGGTTGAATAAGTATTGCCTTCGCAGGATGGCGTGGTAAGACACCATTGCCATAGCCAAAAGACTATGCAATAGGCTAACGAAGAGTGGCAGATCGAAGATCCGCTGGAACCTTTGCGACACCAGATGGATCTCCTCATAAAGAGACAAACACTTGTCCAAATTCGAGATGGCAACACGAGCTGGCTGTGGATTCTCTCCAACACTCTCAACATCCAGCGAAATCATTTGTGCCCTCAGTTGGCGGTCCACATAGTTGTTCAGGTCCCTGTAAAGGACTCCAATGCTGAGGTAGCCCACAAAGCATAGATGCGTGACCATTCCAGTGCCAACCGAGGTGTAGAAATCACTAAGCATTGTAATCAGGGTCCAGGGTAAAAACACGAATCGGAAAGCCATGAATACAAATAGTATGGAGATAACCTTGAAAGCCATCAATATGCACTCCTGCCTGTCACCGAATCCAACTTGATTGGAATTCGTTAGAGCTCGCAGTCGCTGAAAGAGCTTCAAGAAACTGTTAACCAGTAAAAGCAGTTCCTCGCCGAACCACAATTGCAGCACCAGGATAATTACACTGCAGATCAGACATCCCACCAATCGAATGATGAAGAAGGCTCGAAAATACCAATCCACAAATTGGCCTGCCCATGCATCATAACTATAAGTGTAAAGAGCAGTGGTCAGCAGCCGAATAACCACACAGATCCACCGGTATCCCCGGCGATTGCTGGCCACCAAAAAGGAGCCCTTTCTCTCGATTCGATAGGTGATCACTCCAAAAATGGTGCCATATAAAAAACAGCCTCGCAGCAGCAGTCCAGATATCCTGGAAGCGTTTAGGCAGCGCGGAATTCGCTTCATGACTAACGGACCTGAAACGCTGAACCCATCAATATACTTTATTTACCCATTAGGTAATTAGTTTGCCGAACGGTTGAGCAGGCAGTCAGTCGAGCTCATCTTGACCCCTATCTGGATTTCATTTCAATTAGGCTAATGACAAGCAACATGACTTATTTAATTGTGTAGGGTTGGATGCTCTTGGTAAACGATCTGTGATGGGAGATCTTTTAATAACGTGTCACTTTGAAGTTTTAAAAGAATAAGAATGTTACATAAAAGATTGTATTCGATCAATGAAATATAAGATTTACAATCGATTGGTTTGAATGCCGTACTGCACGACGTAGGTAAAATAGGTGATCATCCCGGACAAACAGAGCAAGATGACTTCATTGGAGACCTCGAATAGTCCCAAGGGCCTCACACGAAGTTCAAAGACATTCAGGCGACTTAGGAACATTTCCCACTAAAGCCAGAACGGAATAGGATTAAATGGATAATGATTAGTCAGATAACTCACCTTCATGTGCCACCCCTTGTAATCACTGATTGGACAGTTCTCCAAGCTCAAACGACGAACCACTCGGGAACTGGTGACCGCAACGTGAACCGCCAGGGTGAGGAGGATGACATCGGCGAAACTCTTGACCACCAGACCCCACATGCCCGCCTTGCTGGGATAGAGCTCCGCTCGAATGATCACCTCGTAGGAGAGGACTGCTGTGGCGAATATCTTTCCAGTTAGAATTACCAGGAGGGGCAGCTCGAACAGGCGGTGAAAGGAGCGACCCACTCGCTCTATCTCGTCGTAAATTGAAATGCCTTCATCCAGGCGGTTCTCAACGATCCTCAGCTGGCGGCGACTCACAGGACCTCCACCAGGACGCTCCAGGGATCTGAGCTGCCGTCGAAGCTCAGTTCGCACAATCCTATTCATTTCGGAGTACAGAGTGCCCACGCTGAGGAAGCCAAAGAACCCGATGTGGATGATCATCAGGGAGCCGATCTCCAGGATTATGTTAGCCACCACGGTAAAGAAGCACATCAAGTCGGGAAGATTCCCGAGCTGCCAAAGCTCGCAGTACAGCTCGTAGACCACGCAGACTGACTTGAAGAACAACAGGCAGAACTCCCGCTTGCCTCCGAATCCCACTTTTTTGCAAGTCGACAGGAGTCGAACGCGTCGAAAGAGCCGGAGATAGCCGTTGATCACCCGGAGCACCTCCTTCTCGTAGCCGATCTGAACCACCAGGATGCAAATGGAGCCACTGACACTGGCCGAAAGGCGGAAGCCTTGCAGGAACATCTCGTAGAGATCCTCGATTTCCGAGACCTGGGGAACACAGAAGCAGCAAACCGAGGTGGCGCAGATTAGTCGCACACTGAGGCAGAACCACTTGAAGCGGTGCTGGTGGCGACCCACCAAGGACTTGTCGGAGCTCCTTTCGCCAATGTCGAAGCAAATCACTCCCAGGACTCTGGCGTAGTGGTAGCTGCAATACAGGATAACCGACGAGAGAGCCGCCAGGCTCACCTTCTTTAGACGTCCAAACATGACTGTTCCTCTTTTGGAATACACATTAATAGCCTTCTTTATTGACGCCATTTACTTAATTTCTACAAAGGGGTGTTATGTTTATTTATCTAGTTAAGTGCTGTGATTATATTAAATTGGATTTAACATCGCTTTGATTAACTTGATATCGCTCAAAGATTAAGTGCTTTAATCGGTTCATTTAAGCAAAACTTTTAAACCTAATAAACAATATTTTTTTAGTGATCCATTAGCATATAGTGTTTTTGATGTAAAATACACATACTACCCTTGCTGCAATTTAATTAAAACTTGAAGAACTACCATATACAAACTTAATGTTGCTGAAATAATTGACAGGAACAGTTCGTTGGAAACGGAAATACCATTCAAGATGCGAACCTCAAAATGGTTAAGGTTAAGATGGGTTACGAAAAGTTCAACCTAATGTGAAAAGAAAATAAAGATGTAATCAGAACACCTGTGTCAGTAGTCAACTTACCGTTTCTTTCCAATCTTTATGCTCGTCTACGAAGAACACTTCTAGTGTAAGTTCCCGAATGTTTTTGAACTGTTTTTCGGTTCTATGAACGGCAAAACATAAAATATAAACATCCCACAAAACTCTCACAATAAAGGACCACACCCAAAAACTGATAAATTCCAAATTAACTATCATATCGTACGATATTACGAGTGTATGAGAAAGTGTATGCCCTATGCTTAAAAACAGGTGAACGTTAATAATGTTTTGTAGCGATCTGACGATATAAGAACTTTCCTTGACGATATTCATTATTTTCTTCAATCTGCGGGTAATATTTTGTTGTCGATGTGAGGAGTGGGTTCTTCTGTTAATTTGAAGGGCTGCAATTTGAACTCGCGTTTCGAAACAGATGTTGTCGCTTAGCTCTGAATAAAGAATAGCTAAGCTTAGGTAGAAAATAAAGCTCATTTGAGTGGTAAGATTGCAGGCCATACTGATATAACTAAAACTTGACCAGTTGGCAATATGTTTAATAATACTGACTGGACTATAGCCCCATACCAAACATCCAAGAGTAAATACAATTTCCTGGGCTTGGCAACCGAAGGAAACAAGAATCACTAGTTTCTCGCGCCCCTCTCCAAATGTTTTCCTTCTTCTGAACGGCAGGGATCTCACTCGTCGAAAAAGGCGAAGATAGCGATTGATCAACACAATGAAGTCCTTTCCATGAAAAATCTGAATGTAAGACATCGATAGATAGGACGATACCTTAAAAAAACCGTGTAAGCCGAGCAGCATTTTGACCAATATTTCCATGGTACAAAGGCGTGTAACGTATGAATAAATAACCACAGAAACGGGCAGAAGTCTCAGAATAAATATGACCCACTTCCATCGGGATCTTGCGGCACTGGTCTCCTCCATGATCAGAGTGTTGTCTGTTGCAATCTTGAACCGGAAGGAGATGTAACCTAGCCATTTGGCAGAGGCACAGAAAGCCAGCAGCAATTTAGATACTTTGGATACACTCATGCGGAAAATCGGACTTAACTTCTTTGTGTTTAATTGCGACTGATTTAAAAGGCCCCTGTTTAGTCAACTTCTGTGAAGTGCATTTAGTTAATGAAAACTTAACTTTGAAAAGATCTGTTTTCCCTTTAGGTCTCGCAACTCAGGGGGCAAATCATCATCCGTCACCTGTCAAACTGATATATGTATCATTGCTAAATTGCTTTCGATTTCTTCTTTTGTATATAATATGATCCCCTTAAACCTTTTACCCAGAATAAAGTAAATAAAATATGTATCTTTTTTTTTAATTTTAAATTAATAATAAAAGACAAAGTCTTACATAATTACATTGATTACTTCATTTTTGCTTTACAAAGCCTTTCCTTTGTACACCAATTACAATTTGTACGGCAAGGATGATACAGTTAGTTATTCCAGATATAACTAAGAGAAAAAACTCGTTAGCAAGATTAAAAAGTCCGAATGGCTTAACCCTAAAATCATTTAGGTTTAGATGTGTGATGAATATTTCCACCTAAAAAAAATATTATATTATTTGCTACATAAAAGACATATGAATATACTATTTTACCGTTTCATTCCAATCTTTTAGCTCGCTGGCAAAGAGCAGCTCTCTAGTGATTTCCTGAATGTTCCTGAACTGGTTAACAGATTCTTGAATAACCAAACAGAGGAGAAGAACTTCGCCCATGACTCGTATTACAAAACACCACTCCAAAATCCTAAAGAATTGCACATCGACAATCATTTGGTTAGCCGCTACGACTATTCTATAGAGTTTGCGGATCACACTTAAAAATAAGTAAGCATTGGTTAAGTTCTGTAGTGAACTAACCACACTGGAAATCTCATAAAAAACTGACAGAATTTTCCTCAACTTTCGTTGCGATTTTCTTTTTAAAACATTAGGCTTGGATCGGAACTGCCAGGACAAAATTTTTCTTAATTGGGCGTACAGACCACCTAAACTAAGGTACCAAATAATACATACCCACAGTAGTATACTATTTGTAATATCTGTATAAGCATAAAATAGGCGAAATGGCGATATGCTAAAATTTAGGTGGTAAGGTAAATCAGGAAATATATATTCCTGAATTAGACAGGCTAAGAAGTAGAGCATAAGAAGTAATTCTCGATTACCCCAAAAGCCAATTGTTTTCCTTTTGTTTAAAGATCCAACTCGACGCATGACTTGAAGGTACTGGTTGCCCAACTTAATCACATCCTGGCCACGGAAGATCTGAAGGTGCATCAGCAAAAAGTAGCTCGGAATCGATAACGAAAAGTTTACCAAGCGCAGAGTTCGGAATGGTTTTACTTCCATTAATTCGAGCAGGTGGAGACTTATGGGAACAGGACAACAGAGAGCCACTTCCACCAAAAACGGTTCCACCAGCACTCCTCCAGGACCAAAGAGTTATCTTTCGTATTTTTCAATCGAAAGAAGACAAAACCCGCACATCTTGCATGGAAAAACATTGCGCGCAGAATTACGGCGGACACTTGGGACACACTTAATTTCCGAATACGAGTCATGACTGTTTGGCCTTTAGTTTCGATTGAAATGGACTCGACAGGTTATGGAAACTTAACTCTTTAAGCGATCTTTGGGTGCTTTGTCACTGACGAGTTCCATAACTGAGTTCCACATAACTCAGCTGTCAAACAAATACTACTTCCTATTAGTTGAACAATCTTGTTTTATGTAATTAATTTAGATCAAGAAAATAAAAGCCTTTTACGCAGATGAAAACAAGTCAATTTATTCTTAATTTTATTAAAAGTTTCGAGTACCTTAGGACAACACGACTTTCAGATGCATTTATATCCAAAATGTAACAAAATATTCAATCATTAGTGTAAGGTGTTTCACACTTCAAAGATAGATACAACTGTTGCTTAAATTTGATTACATATTGAATAATAAACAAAATAAAGTTACTTATGGCTGAAAAAATGAAAAGGAACAGTTTGTTGGAAATATAAAAGCTCCCCATGATTCGGACCTCAAACTCGTTTAGTCTAGAAAAACTTCCACCTAAAATCAAAAGAAAGATATTACCAAAAACTTTTAACAAAACAATCCACTCACCGTTTCTTTCCAATTTTTAAGCTCGTCCACAAAGAAAATTTCAAGAGTGAGTTCCCGAATATTTTTAAATTGATTGACTGAATCTTGAACAGCCAAACATAAGATAAGGACATCGAGCAAAATTCTGATTGAGAGCACCCACGAGCTTATGTAGGAAAAATTCATAGCTGTTATCATATTGTAAGATGCCGTGACTACAGTTCGTTTCATTTGGATAGGAGACCTAGCAAATTTTATGGTTAATCGCTCGTAGCGAAGACAAAAATCGTTGAAAGCTAAAATTTTTTTTAAAGTTATAATTTCTGTTCTATTGTGATTCTAAAATGCAGTTACATTTTTCATTATTGCTTTCCCCACTTTTTTATTTGAGTTTTTGCACTGCTGCATGGTTTTTTGCATGCTGAAAATCGTTTCATTTGGATAGAACACTTGTCAGTAATCACTTGTGTACAGTGCGCAGTTTGTTTAAAACGTTTTTTTTCAATCTGATGCTATTATTGATCAAATGAAACTAAAAAGGCCTTGGATCGGCACTCCAGGATAAAGATGGGAAAATTATGGGGGAAAATTGATGCATATTTGGACTCAGCCCTTAATGTGAGCCAAATCGCCACGAAAATAAAAAAAATCGCGAAATGTTGTACACAATTTATTAACAGATAATGAAAACTATAAAAAAAATTATAAAGGGCTTCAAAAAACAAAGTTAAACGTTCGAGATAAGCGGCTTCTAGTGAAAAAAGGCCTCCAATTTCCCCATGTCCTGCGCCGGTTTGGCTCATTATGAGGCCAACAAGGTGTCTAAAACACCATTTGGCGGACTTTACACACTTGCTAACACTTGGTGCTATCAAATATAGCAAGTTCTCCAAGAATCACAGAGATCCATCGTCAGGCGCGGAGCAATTTTGGAAAATACAATTTTGAAACGAATTGGCGCTCAGTAAGCTATTCTTAAAGATTCCTTCTAAGCTTTATTTTAATACTTTTTAATGTTTGGATTATATTTTTTGATGAAAAAAAACTTAATTTGAGCCCATCCGGGCCATCCAAACATAATCCAAACATTAAAAAGTATTAAAATAAAGCTTAGAAGGAACCTTTAAGAATAGCTTACAGAGCGCCAATTCGTTTCAAAATTGTATTTTCCAAAATTGCTCCGCGCCTGACGATGGATCTCTGTGATTCTTGGAGAACTTGCTATATTTGATAGCACCAAGTGTTAGCAAGTGTGTAAAGTCCGCCAAATGGTGTTTTAGACACCTTGTTGGCCTCATAATGAGCCAAACCGGCGCAGGACATGGGGAAATTGGAGGCCTTTTTCACTAGAAGCCGCTTATCTCGAACGTTTAACTTTGTTTTTTGAAGCCCTTTATAATTTTTTTTATAGTTTTCATTATCTGT